GTAGGTTTATGATTGAATGTAACTCCCCAATGGATTAATTAGCAATCAGGTTAAACGTGTTGTGTAAACATAGCTAATCGGGGAACTAAGTCAATTAAAACATTCACACAGTGACTGAGTTAACCAACTCAGTGGTTGGATTTTGAAAGAGTAAGTTATATGATCCCAACCAAATGTGGCTTGTTCCATAAACTGTGGATAAATAATTTTGTACTTAGCATGATGTTGGAATATAGTTTCTGTAATCTGAAGATTAGTAAACCTGGTTAACTTGCTGTTCCAGTGGCAACCACTGATGGTACAGCTTTGATGAGATGATTTCTGAGCATGACTCCAAAACTGAACTTACTATTACTATTCTATCTGTATTTTGGAACCAGTCTGTTGCATGTATACAAGTTTTCCCTGGATTTGGAAAGTTTGTTACCCATATGTGTAAATTTCCGTTAAGGCAGGCTGGACCGCTAGATTACTTATATCAAGCCACAAGAGCTGAGTTATTTGACGTTCTGATGGTGCTGAATTAAATTGCTAAAGTGTAATCTTTACAATCTGTCACTTCTCCAGATCTTTTAAGTGCCACTGATATCATCCTGGAAATTTCAATCACCAGAGAGGGCCTGGCTTTGGAAATTATTGATGTCCCTAATATGGTAATATGTCATGGCAACAATGACATTTTTGTATAGATCTCAGCTTGTGTGGGTATTAAAGAAAATGAAATGGGAGATAAAGCAGTCAAGAAGTCTTCCCCAAATCATTCAAAAGACCTAAATACTTCAAAGATTAGAACACACATATGCACGGTTCAGTCAAACAGCAATATACAACCTGGCTATGTGAAGTGAAATGTGAAGGTTAAATGGCTAACAAGATTCACAAGATAGTTGCAGAATGACTCTTGAGTCAGCCTAATGCCTACTCAGGAGTAAACCCGGCGGAGCTTGATGGGGCTCCCATGAAAGTTGGAATACGAGTGCAGCTTTATCTTTGATTTCAGCCTACTGACAAATGATAGAAAAATCTGTCAAGAAAAGGATGCATTTATTATCATGACTCTGTCTACAAAATACCCTGTCTACTAGGTTAACTTCTGAATTACAATAACCTCTTACCATAAGATTGATTAGCTATGAACATTTTACAATTTGATATATATTGTATATCAAGCACATACATACACACGTCTACACACATCTAATGGCACTATGGCACATTTATTGAAAAACTGTAAATATACATATTCACGGATATGCTTACAATAGTGGCCTAAAATCAGAATAAATGAGAGGATATACTTGACCCAATCAGGACAGTGAAGAATATGGACTCAAAAAATGGGGTGGGGGTGGAGAATAGGATGGACCCTTTTTCCAAAGGGCACAACTATCTGGCTGGAACCCTGAATGACTTGCAGGTCCCATTGATCTATAAATCAGTGTTTCTCAACCGTGGCAAGTTTAAGATGGGTGGACTTCAACTCCCAGAATTCCCCAGCCAGCCTTGCTGTATCCGACACCTTCTCTATAGATCAGTGTTTCTCAGCCTTGCTAACATGCCGGCTGGGGAATTCTGGGAGTTGAAGTCCACCCATCTTAAACTTGCCACGGTTGAGAAACACTGATTTATAGATCAATGGGACCTGCAAGTCATTCAGGGTTCCAGCCAGATAGTTGTGCCCTTTGGAAAAAGGGTCCATCCTATTCTCCACCCCCACCCCATTTTTTGAGTCCATATTCGTCACTGTCCTGATTGGGTCAAGTATATCCTCTCATTTATTCTGATTTTAGGCCACTATTGTAAGCATAT